CCCACCATCTCCTCCCTGCCTCCACCCACCTCTTCTCCGCTCGGGGGCCACCTCGCCTGCGCCTCCGCCTGCCGGTCCCCTCCCCTCCGCCTTCCCCCACCCCTTGGGATTCCTCTCCCACTTCTCCCTCGGCATTCCCCCGCCAGCTTTCCTCCGCTCCCGCCTCCACCTACGCTCACCTCCGCACACCTCACATCCGCCTCTGCCCACCTCACCTCCACCTCTGCCCTCCTCACATACGGCCTGCCCACCGTAGCGCTCTCTCTCTGTCTCTCTGTCTCTGTGGTCCGCTCTCTTCCTCTCTCTTTCTCCCTCTTTCTCTCTCTCCCTCTCCCTCTCTCTCTCACAATGCTTGGTACGTTGTTCTTGGAACTTCGTGCCCTACGGGCTTGCCTACGCAACCTACTGACTTGCCTACGCCCACCTAGGCGACCTACCTACAGCCTATGCGACCCATCCGACCTGCCTACGGCCTGCCTACCTTAACACACTCTCTCTCTCACTCTCTGGATCTCTCTCCCTCTCTCTCTCCCTCTCTCTCTCCCTCTCCCTTTCTTTCTCTCAGTGCTTGGTACTTCGTGCTTGGTCGTGTTTGGTTCGTGCATTGGTGCCACTTTCGTGCTACTTGGTGCTACTGGGTGCATTTGTGTTAGTTCGTGCTACTCCGTGCTTGGTTCGTGGTTGGTTTGGTTTCGGTGTTACGTGCATCAGCGGTTGGTTCATGTGATCGGTGCTTCGTGCTAAGTGCAACGGTGCTAAGTGCATCGTGGAATCGGTGCTTGGTTCGGTCTGGCATAGTCGAGCCTTTTCTTATGGAGTTGTGTAAAGCGAACATGACGTCACACACACGCGCGCAGATGCATCTTCGGCAGACTGTCGGGGTTCAAACTCCGGTGAAACAGTCTGGACAGGCATGATTCCTTTTTGGCATGCACGAAGGCACGAGAGAGAGAGAGAGAGAGAGAGAGAGAGAGAGAGAGAGCACCCGACCATGACAACGCTGACAGATGACGATGACGAGGAAGAAAGATAAGGAGCATGAGCATGATTTACGAGGACAAAGGTAAGATAATAATGACATCAGTCACTGATTGCCGGAATGGAGTGGCTAAGGAAACACAAGCTGCTTCAAGGGAGGGTTAGGGTGGGGAGGGGCGTCACATGTCGCATGCATGTGGCTGGATCTTTTATCCATTTTCATTCTTTTCGTTGTTTTTTTTGGTGTGTGTGTGTGTGTGTTGTGTGTGTGTGTGTGTGTGTGTGTGTGTGTGTGTGTGTGTGTG